AACGCATTCGCTTCTCTCTTTAAATTCCAGTGATACAAAACGATTCATTTTACCGGAACATAAAAAAAGATACTACACAGTTAGAGTTTTTTTTTAGGGGTGGCATTTAGATCTTAGGGTTCGGGTCGCTTAATCAGTGTAGTTTTCCTAACTTACATTTTTTTTAATTAAGTATAATCCGTCAGATATTAGTTAATGACCGAAACAAAACTTAGAAACATTGTAATAATTGCCGGATCAAACTAAGTTTTACATCATAGTGCCGGGAACCACCTGGTGGGCAGTCGCGGACCACTGGGTCGTATCCGGGCACCACACTCCACCACCGCCTTATATCATGCGGAGGTAATGACCCAGCGTACGTTTACATTGCAGTTCAGCACAAGGCCCTAGACAAAAAAACTAGAAGAACGGAAGAAGGATCAATGTTAAGAGCAGGCTCCCTCTAGAGATGTTATTCTCAATGGCTTAGTTATGACAGCTGCCGTGCTGGATAAAGACTTGCTGAACAGGGCAGGTACACTGGCTTAATGATTACATAGCATTTAGGTTTGTACTACATCGTACTTTTGGGACGAGGCCCCTAGTAATGTCTTGAGCATATTGCAAAATGCACAGCTGTTAATGTGATTGTAATTGTTTTTCATAAGCACACACAGCAGTTTCTGGTTATAGTTTGATGCAAACAGGCATCAAAACAATAGCAAATACGCCTGCACATACCTGCGTGCAACATAGAGTTCGAATCGGCTACACACTACTCTCTGGATTTGAACTAATTTTGTAAGCTATTCAATCTTAAAGCAAACACAGACATTCGGCTACAAGGAATTGCAAAGTGACCAGTAGCTGGTATATTTCAACAAGGATGGAAAATAGTTGGCAACAGTGCAACAACAGGTAATTGGAAAATAAACAATGGTCAAAACAGGCAAAGATTTTTCTGTTCACTGATGCATCTCACTGAACGATTATCAAGCAATGCACGTGGGTGTTGAGGAATTTCCCTTGCATTTTCCTGCACTGAAATCTGCCAAAGTACTCTTGCTCACTTCAAAATCCTACAAAATAATGCCAGAGAAGTTTTCACTTCCACGATTTTCTATTTGACCCAGACACAACGCTGGCACCCACATCCATTTAGATTGCAGCTGTATGATCTGCAACAGGTTATTGAACAATATTTCCCTTGCGACAAGTGTGTGTGCAACAGATAGTATCATAAATACAGTGAGGGAGAAAAAGTATTTGATCCCCTGCTGATTTTGTACGTTTGCCCACTGACAAAGAAATTATCAGTCTATACCTTTAATGGTAGGTTTATTTGAACAGTGAGAAAGAATAACAACAACAAAATCCAGAAAAACGCATGTAAAAAATGTTTTAAATTGATTTGCATTTTAATGAGGGAAATAAGTATTTGACCCCTCTGCAAAACATGACTTAGTACTTGGTAGCAAAACCCTTGTTGGCAATCACAGAGGTCAGACGTTCCTTGTAGTTGGCTACCAAGTTTGCACACATCTCAGGAGGGATTTTGTCCCACTCCTCTTTGCAGATCTTCTCAGAGTCATTAAGGTTTCGAGGCTGACGTTTGGCAACTCGAACCTTCAGCTCCCTCCACAGATTTTCTATTGGATTAAGGTCTGGAGACTGGGTAGGCCACTCCAGGACCTTAATGTGCTTCTTCTTGAGCCACTCCTTTGTTGCCTTGGCCGTGTGTTTTTGGTCATTGTCATGCTGGAATACCCATCCACGACCCATTTTCAATGCCCTGGCTGAGGGAAGGAGGTTCTCACCCAAGATTTGATGGTACATGGCCCCGTCCATCGTCCCTTTGATGCGGTGAAGTTGTCCTGTCCCCTTAGCAGAATAACACCCCCAAAGCATAATGTTTCCACCTCCATGTTTGACGGTGGGGATGGTGTTTTTTGGGTCATAGGCAGCATTCCTCCTCCTCCAAACACGGTGAGTTGAGTTTATCTCATCTGACCACAACACTTTCACGCAATTGTCCTCTGAATCATTCAGATGTTCATTGGCAAACTTCAGACGGGCATGTATATGTGCTTTCCTGAGCAGGGGGACCTTGCGGGTGCTGAAGGATTTAGTCCTTTACTGCGTAGTGTGTTACAAATTGTTTTCTTGGTGACTATGGTCCCAGCTGCCTTGAGATAATTGACAAGATCCTCCCGTGTAGTTCTGGGCTGATTCCTCACCGTTCTCATGATCATTGCAACTCCAAGAGGTGAGATCTTGCATGGAGCCCCAGGCCGAGGGAGATTGACAGTTCTTTTGTGTTTCTTCCATTTGTGAATAATCGCACCAACTGTTGTCGCCTTCTCACCAAGCTGCTTGGCAATGGTCTTGTAGCCTATTCCCACCTTGTGTAGGTCTACAATCTTGTCCCTGATACCCTTGGAGAGCTCTTTGGTCTTGGCCATTGTGGAGAGTTTGGAAGCTGATTGATTGATTGCTTCTGTGGACAGGTGTCTTTTATACAGGTAACAAGCTGAGATTAGGAGCACTCCCTTTAAGAGTGTGCTCCTAATCTCAGCTCGTTATCTGTATAAAAGACACCTGGGAGCCAGAAATCTTTCTGATTGAGAGAGGGTCAAATACTTATTTCCCTCATTAAAATGCAAATCAATTCATAACATTTTTGACATGCGTTTTTCTGGATTTTTTGTTGTTGGTTATTCTGTCTCTCACTGTTCAAATAAACCTACCATTAAACTTATCGACTGATCATTTCTTTGTCAGTGGGCAAACGTACAAAATCAGCGGGGGATCAAATACTTTTTTACCTCACTGTATTCTGGCGCAACGCCACTCACTGTTCCATTGCGTCTATTGGTCGCACCTTCTCAAGGCAGATTTTTGAAAAGCTGCAGCAGATTTCACTGCTGGAAATCAACACAGCCTGCGAGCAATGTTTTTTTTTGCTCAGATATTGGATGGAGCATCGTTTTAAAAAAAAAGTATGGGTCATTTAGAATTTGAGATGCCTGTTTGTTTGATTTATCTCTGTTGAGATACATCAATGGTTGCAACATGTGTCACGTTCAAAAACTTGGACAAGATGCCACTGTGACTCTGGGGCATTGAAAGACATATAAATTTGGGATCCTGAATCCCTTTGAGAAAAGTCCAACAAGTGTTGGAGCATAAATACGTTCACAACAACTTTACCATTGAAAACAAAAACATCTATCCGTGGCTGTTACATGGTGATATATATATAAACTTGCTGCTGCTATTGAGATGGAGGACTCTGCTTTCAGCAGTTTCATTCTGGAATTTGTGTTCAAGTCCCTGGTCGATTCCTTTCTGGGAAAATCTATCTCTCTTTTACTGTAAATTTTACCATCCCTACTTCGCAAGGAAATATTTCCCTTTATTCTTTGGAAAAATTTTTACAATTCCAAGAACCCAACCCCGAATAACACTGAATGCATTATGAAACGAATCAGAGCATTGTTAAGTCATCCACGTTCATCACAGACTTGCAAACATTTATTAACAGGTGGCCGGATGGGTCAATCGTCAGAGTAGTTATCCAGCACCGCCTCAGACCCTGGGTTGGAATCTGGGCAGTCACCAATGATTAAAACTCGGCTTATCAAATGCATTGGCTTTCAAAAAAAAAACATCGCCTAAAATGTTGCTTTGCACTTCCTGTGCTTTGGGTCTTTCGTTAAAGCCACGTAGATAGATCAAATAATAATAATAATAAATAACAATATCACGACGTTTCGATCGAATATATATTCTCAGCAGCTCTACCGCGATATTTCTCACCCGATGACGATTGCTTGTGTTGCGATTGAAACGTCGTGATATTGTTATAATTTTTATTTTCTATTTTTTGATCTATCTACGTGGCTTTACCGAAAGACCCAAAGAATATTAATTCCTGCAGTCACGAAAGCTTTAAGTCAAGATTTGCACTTCCTGTTGTGAGAATTATAAATATCGGTTTGACTATCATGCGACAAACAATTTCACAGAAGCCAATCTCTTAAACAGGACGCACTCTGTGATATTTGCGAAGAGGCTCCGATAGCACAATTGGAATTAATTGGGTATCAAACCCATCATATATCAATACAAATCAACATGCGTAAGTACAAGCGAAAGTAAAAGGTGTTCAGCCAACATAGTTACATGACGAGGTGTCAAATGTTTACCACACCTCCGATTAGCACGGTTGGCTACGTACGGCGCGAAAGAAATTCGACATACATACCAATGGCTATTATTTCAGCAAATCGAGGCAGCGGTGTAGCGTGGTTAGCATGGGCCTCGGTATAATACCATTAAACGGGGCCTCCTCTCCCAATTTCTCCTCTCTCCATAGACCAACGCCTGCCCCCCCCCCACTCCCATTCCAGCCTGTGCACTCCAGTGCAGTTGCACCGACTGCACACTCTATATCTACGTCACTGAACAGTCAGCGGGTGAGACGCTGTAGGCAGAAGTTACGGAACTTTAATCATAAGTTCTAAGGCAAATGTGATCTCTGTAGCAGGCGCCATTAATCATTGGCAGATACAGCCTTTGTAGGGGCTGCTTTGGTGCCATTATCTTTAGAAAAACACAGCAAGACTAATATTACCCCTAATTAAATAAATATCCCTTTGAGGGTAATCAATAGCAAGTTTGTGCTGCGCTGAAATAATAACCCAGAAAACTCAGTAGGTAATTCCGTGAATGCCATTTTGTTAAGTGTGTGTATTTTTGTTACGTATTTGTAAAAATGCAACAGTCACCACGGTCAGGTCTTGTGTGGGCAGTTGCCTTGATGTTAATCATTGCAGCTGTATGTCGACGTATGTTTCACCCCAAAAAAAAAATACTTTTTGATGATGATAGGCATATCTCCACCCCCCCCCCCCCCGCGCCTCAGTAGTGAGTGGGTTGGCACATTCTTCACCAGAAAGGCACATCACCCTGAGATTGCTGACTTGTCCAAAAGGGCTGAACCAGAATGCTGCATTACATTCACGTCTTGCCTTTTCAAAAGCGCACTGATTAGCCATGCCCGGCCGTGATTATAAACACAACGTGGTTCTGTTTATAAGCTCTGAAATGATACACAGAACTTAGCCAGATAGACGGCTGTGCGTACATTGCGTAACTATTTGTGTAACAGAGTGCACGCTTTGCAACACCATCGAGTCGCGAGCGTTGTTCACCGCGCAGCGGTGACATTTAAAATTGCCGCAATTTAATTAGAGACAATATTTAGTTTGTCTTTTTCATGGTTCGCAAGTAACAAATCAGTATTACCAAGTGACAATGGTAATTGTCAACAGGTTCCCGTCAGCAGTCCTGCAAATATGATTGTTTTGAATGAGTCATTGTAATATGCTGAACATGGGTCACTCATTATATCGGTTTACAAACGCATTTTAGTTATTGTAATATTACTGAGCAGACAGTGATATTACGAAGTGGTAGATATAAGCGTACACATGCAGAATGTACAACGTAAAAATATATATATACGTAAGGTCATGCATGTAGAGGTGTAGATACACATCACGCGTTACAATTGCAGAGTACACAAACAGAAGCAGTTCCCACGACACTTGTTGCAAGTGGCAGCACTGCGAGTCTGCGTTGGTTGCGTATGGACCGCATCAGTCTGCCCGCGGCCCCGTTGCCCTCCGAGATAAATTGGGTGAGGACATTCCGCAACCCTTCCTGGGGAACTCGGCCTATGATGAGTGCCCCAGACCTCCTGGGGCGGGAGAAAGGAAGTCGGAACTCCCAGGCACACAATACCAAGCACCCCCACTCGCCGCGAATCACCCAACCCCTCCCTGAGGTTTATAAATATGTTCTGCCTCAGCTGGCAAAAAGGGGCTTTTAGCAGCATGCTCCTCCGTGTCATGGTGCAAACAGGAATACATTCCACCAGGCATGCACCACTAACAAATGTCCAGCTAAAGTAGGATTACGTAACAGGAATTGGGTATTTGTACATTTTTTTGTATAAATTGTTTTTTGCGGAAAGTTGAATTTACGTCAGTGAAATAAGCACTGTCCTTTGTAAACACATATATATATTGCGTGCTTATTGAAAGAAAAAAAAAGACAACCCGGGGGCAAACATTTTAACGGCAATTTTTTTTTCTTCCCATCATCGTTAACACAGCAGTGGTGCTTCGCCCGAAGAGTACAACGCCGGTGCTGCTGTCGAGAGCGCGTGTACACCACCCCCCCCCCAAAAAAAAAGAATCTGGTCGAGAACAGCCTTGCAGAGCCTTCGCGCAACACGATGTGGTCCTGCCTCTGGCTGGCCGGCACCGTCCTGAGCGTCGCGGCGGCGCTAGATCGTGGCTCCGAGCGGCCGGACGACCCCTTGCCCTCGCCGCAGGGCTACCACCGGCTGCGGCACGCCGGCTGCACCTACACATTCCTCCTGCCGGAGCTCGACTCGGACTGCGGCGGCGCCGGCAGCGGGGAAGACGCCGAGGCACGCCACGGCGTCCAGAGGGACGCCCCGCCGCTCGACGGGGACGCGTCTCTGCAGCGGCTGCAGCTTCTCGAGACTGCCGTTGGCAACGTCACTCGGTGGCTGCACAAGGTGAGGACGCGGCGGAACGAGCGCGCCAAAAGGTGCATCCGTGCGCGAGATGACTGATACGGTTGTCACCTGTCGTGGTTTCAGTTGGTTAATTTCCCCCCCACACCCCCACCCCACCCCAGGAAATTGTGGTAAGCTTTTGCCGAAGCGTAAAAAAAAATAAATTGTTTTTGGTCAGTTGCGTGTTAATGCACCACGCGAGACTGTGGACATGTTCACATGTCGTCGTGCTCCCCCCCTTATCTTCTACTGTGCGATCGCCTTCTTCCCGTGATACGTCTCAGTTTTTTTTTTAATGCCGCAGAGGTGGCAATTCTCGTGCCTGATCCGTGAAACCTGGGTTGTCAATGAAAAGTAAGGTGCCCTGCTCGACAGACAGCTGTGTATTGGAAGGGAAAGTAATACAGTTTGAACAAATTATTTGGTGGACACTGTGTTGGCTTTGGTGCACAAGCACACATAGCAAAACAAACTTAACACATTCATCAATAACGCTGCCTCTGAAGGCATATATGTAAGAGGTGATGTTTAGGGTAATGACCTTTTGTTATAGCATGTAAAACTCTATAACAATGTCTTGCGTTTTGAAATAAAAAGTAAACTATTTAGTCTGAAGCTGAGAGCCACCCCTCCATAGTAAAATAAACTCTTTCACTGATGCCATTTGTTTTCTGTGTGCCTTAATCTTCCAATGTAATTCTCGCAAAATGACAATATGGTTTAAAATATTGTCCTAGCTGTAACAAAAAAAAAACAGCTTTTCCAGGCAAAGGAATATATAGTCTATCCAACATCTAAGCATTTTACTCCACCGAAGTTCACAGGCGAGGCCAAAGTCAAATTGGTTAAAAGTCAAACCCAAGTTCAGCTATTCATTTTTCCTTCAAGACCTCAGGTAAATAAATAACCCCTGCATGACTTTGCCCTATTTATTTTGAACATAGACCATGTCGTTGTATTGTGAAGGCGCACGTGCACCTTATTTGTTGTTGTTATTGGGCCAAGTCACTTAACATTTCGCAGCCTCGCCTCCACAAATCTCAAGGCGAGGGCCACGGCTAGGTCTGGGCACAATTCGTATGGGGAATTGGCTAAGCAGTCATCACCTTGCTGCAGGAAGGAGTGCTAATTTGCTCAGCAAGAGATACTTCCTGTTCAGCCACAGTTAACTGAGCAACTCCTGGGCATTACTACTACTGCTATGCTGTTGCCAGAGGTGGAGCCACAGGGGTGGGGGGGGGGGGGGGGGGGGGGGGGGGGCTCAGCCCCCGCTGAAATTTTGGGAAAATCGGTAATCGGGATAACCGGTAATCCGGCTGCTGCAAAATGCTGCAGGCTGCCACCTTGTGCTGCCCTGTAGGCTGCCACCTCGTGTGCTGCCACCTTGTGCTGCCCTGCAGGCTGCCACCTCGTGTGCTGCCACCTTGCACTGCCCTGCAGGCTGCCACCTTGTGTGCTGCCACCTTGTGCTGCCCTGCAGGCTGCCACCTTGTGCTGCCCTGCAGGCTGCCACCTTGTGCTGCCCTGCAGGCTGCCACCTTGTGTACTGCCACCTTGTGTGCTGCCACCTTGTGTACTGCCACCTTGTGTGCTGCCACCTTGTGCTGCCCTGCAGGCTGCCACCTTGTGTGCTGCCCTGCAGGCTGCCACCTCGTGCTGCCCTGCAGGCTGCCACCTTGTGTGCTGCCCTGCAGGCTGCCACCTCGTGCTGCCCTGCAGGCTGCCACCTTGTGCTGCCCTGCAGGCTGCCACCTTGTGTGCTGCCCTGCAGGCTGCCACCTTGTGCTGCCCTGCAGGCTGCCACCTTGTGTGCTGCCCTGCAGGCTGCTTGAGCGGCAGCCTTTCGAACTTATCGAACTTATCAGCCACATCAGCGGCTCCGACCTATTAATAAACTCCGCGTTCAAATCCAATAGAATTTGTTTTATACATTTGTGGCGCCCATTGGAAAACATTACACTGGATGTCTCACAATATTGAAGTCAGCCCCCCCAAAGTCAAAATCCTGGCTCTGCCCCTGGCTGTTGCATGTGTCATCGCTTAGCTGGCACGCTCAGCCAGGCCCTTTCTTCTCTGTGAATCTTAATATCCAATGTAATTCCTAAAACAACGCGGGTCTGGAAATATTGTCCTTGCTTAAATAATTTTATTCTTACAGGCAAATGAAATTACAAGCCGAGCCAACCTCTGCATTGTCTGAACAACAACATTCTGTGCTCATACTAGTTGTCTGTTTAGAAGTATGAACATAAACTTGCGTACATTCACAGTCTGGTTTTATAAGCATTTTAATTAATGAAGACGGTTTTTTTAAAGTTCTACTGACATTTCTTTCTGTGGGACGGTGCTATAACAACATACATATTAATAAAAAAAATTATATTGCAGATCAAACATCACCTTTATTTCATTTTGGTTGCAAATATGTCCAACTGACGTCATTTGAGGCTGGTGCTAAATCAACCAAAGTTCTATTCAATGCTCCCTCTTGGGGCAATCCTGCCAAAGCAAAAATAGCTTTACTGGATCTGTGACGAAGAAAAAAATTCTAACAAAAGAATCCATATATCAGGTACAATAGTAGCAGATGCTTCCTGCAATTGGAAGTTTACTAACATTTATAATATAAAGAAAAACAGGAAAGCGAGGAGCAAACAAAGTAGACAGCCGTCCTTGCTTTGTATTTGCGATCCGGACACAACTATTCCCCAAAGTTGTTGTTTTTATTATAAAATTTTCTGTTTGACGGAATAAGGACCGGTGGAAAACGATCGTGGCCATTACCACAAAAAAAAGAAGTGGGCCTCGCCACCTCTGGGCCTCACCCGCGCCTTCATGTCCCCTTCTATATTGGGCCCCATTGTAGTGGAGCTATTCTTGGACGGCGGTGGTTGCTTTGAAACATTTTTTTTTTACAACAATAACGACAAGAAAACGAGCAGACAAACAAATTCCGCACGCGTCGCATGCCTCCCACAGATGTATTGGGCTTCATTCGTTACACTCGGTGGACGCCAGGTACAGCATCCGGGGAGCGGTGATGCAGTGGCTTGTCCACTGCGTTATAAATAAAGCTACAAATGAAACTCCCGGCGATGGCTACCACCAGTGGGTAGTGATATCTGAACCAGTTCTGGGTCCTCCTCTTCACCAACGCACACTGACCAGCGTGGTTAATTATGCTTAAACAACCAGGATAACCGACATAGTATGGAGAGGCCTTCATCCAACAGTGGATTGCCATAGCCATTTAAAAGGTCGGTAGGTAAATAAGTAGCTACGTATCTTTTCAAATAGATAACTGTCGTGCAATGCACGGTGTTATTATATACAGACATAGTCTATGGGTCTTTCGGTAAAAGACCCATAGAATATGTATTCATGGAGTCACGAAAGCTTTAAGTCAAGACATATACAGAAATTTAGTCAAATTAACTTTAATGAACGCATCTCCACGCCATGTCAGTCAAACTTCACCAGGGTGGTCCGTACGTGTTGGTGGATGGCCAGGGGGCACCAAGGACCGGTTTAGATATCCCCCCACTGGTGTTAGGACCGGGAATCAACGTTTGTCTGCCAAGTTCATAGAGCAGCGCACTGACCACCGTGCCACTGCCCATACAAGGCAGGTATTGTATTTTGACGTATTGGCGATACACCGGTGCAGCACAACACACCAGTCCTCATAAAACAGTTTAAATTAAAAAAAATTGGAATCAGCAAATCTGTTTTTCGGTCTTTCATTGATCTTGTCGCCAAGCTTGACGTGATTCCAAGGTTTATTGAGTCTACTGAGATTTGCTAAATAAGGTCAATATTGACCGTTGATTTGGGTCCATTGAATCGAGGGACTGTCCGATCACGTCTAGGGCACGAGTCAAATCTGCCTTTGGAATACGGAGCCAGCCGTCATCAGGCTGAGTGCTGTATGGCAACAGACTGTGAAGTTTCGTGTTCAGCCACGGTAACAGACTGTGAAGCTTCGTGTTCAGCCACGGCAACAGACTGTGAAGCTTCGTGCTCAGCCACGGCAACAGACTGTGAAGCTTCGTGCTCAGCCACGACGACAGACTGTGAAGCTTCGTGCTCAGCCACGGCAACAGACTGTGAAGCTTCGTGCTCAGCCACGACAACAGACTGTGAAGCTTCGTGTTCAGCCACGGCAACAGACTGTGAAGCTTCGTGCTCAGCCACGGCAACAGACTGAAGCTTCGTGTTCAGCCGCTCATAAACGTTCGTCTTCTGACCGCTTCGACATCACGAGAACTGATTTTGACGCACCACCACCATCACCCCGCAAGATTTTCTGACCGGGGTTTCGAATCGTGGGGAAATAAATAATAATTATTTTTTATCCAGCAAGGGCCTTTTTTATATACCGCGCACCGATGTACCGTCAATACGTGAATTTGTCAAATAAGGTATAGTGCCTATGACCGTAAGTGGCTATGCAGATCTGTGAGATGGCTTGAGGCAAGATAATCGAACCACGAACATGAAGGAGGACTTATCTGCATTTTGTCTTGTGGTGTGTCTCAAGTGAAAAGTAACACTATCACCATGACAACAAACAACATCTGGACAGACACGGCACAATTGCTAACCCCAGGGGGAAAACATTATACGTATTAAAACATTCCATCACGTATTTATTTAGTACAAAAGTATTGTTGTTGGGTTAATATTTCCCCATTGGAATGCGAAATATCTTCCCGAAATTATATATCGCATGCACACATGCCGATGCAGGGATTTTTTATTAGAAATCCTATTTTTCACGAACTAAACTAACATACAGCGGGGATATATATGGAGATGTTTTACATTAGCGAAGCATCTGGCTTGATTAAAAAAAAACAATGTTAATGGATGCTGTCAGAACACGACCATTGGTCCTGCGAAACAAAGTTGAAAGCGAGCGAGGTGCATCTTGGCAGGAAGAATTCGTGGCAACGGTGAAGTTGAAGCCCGTATAACAAACAGGTGTCAGCCCTCCTCTC